ACTAATGTAGTTGTACACAGATGTAAATACATTTTGTGTTTATTACTGTTCGGTATGTTTCAACAGTAACTATGAAAATATATTTTACATGAGAGCAGTGCTTTATTTTTCATCATCTGTTTATGCAGCAGCTTCCATGTTTATGTTACAGTTACTGATGAACCACTATCTACTTTGTGGATTATAAACCATTATTGATGTTAAAAACAAAATAGAATTGTTTGCATCAATACATTAATTTACATTCCATCAAGGGAGCTGGAGCCCATTTATACTTGATGATGCATCTGATCAGCCTCTGACCATATGATGCTCATACAATATTTAGTGAAGGTACGTTAAGTAATTATTTTACAAATTAGTATCACGACATGACTTTACTAAAGGGAACAACCAGGTAATTCATAAGTACTAATAAAGTATTACTGAACAACATGTCAACATGTTTCCCCATTCTCGCCTGCAAAAAACAAAGATGCTCAGTATATCACAGATTTACATTTGTGGTCTGAACTAACAGAACATGTGACATCTCTGCTTTTAAAGGGGTAAGTTATGAAAACTAACTTTCATGGTGGTTGCATTGTTTTCCTCCTCATCATCACAAGAAGCAGCCCTGTCATGGCTGATTTCTTCTCTGGAGACTTACTGGGTGATAATGTGCTGATCATGTTTGTATAGAAAGTTAAATGAACACTTCATTTACTCTGTTCACAAACAGAATCTGCTTTATTGGCCAGGTGTGTCAGACACACAAGGAATTTAACTCTGGTACATTAGTTTATCGTTTCAAGTCAAAACAACTAATTTATAACTTCTGAAAACATGTTAAGTTATGTATAATAAGTGTACAGATTGCCATTAGCTGATTCCAGTGCATTTCCATATGTTACAGCCTACCCTTATTATCAAGTGTTGCCAGATTTCTTTACACCCTCCTCTCCTTTAAAAACCTGTCACAGAACTGGGCCGACTGGCAAGTGCTGCCCCCTGCTGGCTGCTCAGTATAACGTTTGGGAAGTGGCCTGACCTGAAAATACTTCCAGAGGCCACAGAATTAGATTTGGCTGTAGTTAAACTGACCTGAGGCCTCTCTGCCTGGGATATTTAAAGACTGTTTGGGAGGTCAGTAAAGTGGCACGGGAAGGAGACGTTAGAGAGAGAAAGCTGATGTGTGGAGTCAAAGGGGTTTTCCTTCAGCCTTCGTGCCCATGACAACTCAATACAGGTCAACTCTGCATCCTGTTAGCAGAGGTTTCTGGTATGAGATCAGAAATGTACAACAAAAAAACTGTCAGGAATCAATTTATCCACAACATCAAACGCTCACAACGGATGCTATAATAAATAACAGTATAGGATAATTAGATACAGTCTTCATAGTTCCTAAAACCTTGAAAATGTCCAGAATGCAAAAAAAAAATTTAAGAAAAGAAACAGGGCTTTGTCTTTACTGTGTCTAAGGGTCCTCAGCATGGTTTGTTTCAGCCCCATCCCGCAGGACCAGATGGACCTGAGTTTGCAAAGATGGCAACTGAAAAAGAAAAAGACAAAATTTAGAAGAAAGCATTTTAAAGCCTTACTAGCACATTTTTAATCATTTTAACCATATTTTTGTAATGATTTTTACAAAATAAAAATTCCCAGATTTGAACAGTTATAAATCTGTTGTTTCTTAGCAATAGGAAAGTCACTTT